CGAAGTACTTGAAGTCCTAGTTAAACAAAGAGTAAAAGAAAAGTTGATTTTCTTGATACTACAGTTTTATACAATAATATGTTTATATTATCAAAGTAAAGAATTTCGAGAAAAGTATATGTTCACGCTATTACATTTCGTACCTATTGTTATAATTGGTACCACTCAGCTTTTGCTGATCGGGTTGGCTCCATTTTTTAGGTACACAAACAGAATAGTGACCGAACCGGAGAACAATGCTAGGGCGATGGAAGGATGGACGAGATGACATAAAGAAAGATAATAACAATAAAGATGTTATTTTGAAATATATATTTTGTACGAATATGTTAAGCTTCCGCATGTATAATAGTTACTATGATATTATCAATAAATAAATAAGTTTTGTTTAATGCTCCATCTACCGATTCAAAAAGTTAGAGCCGTTAACACCACGAGTCGGATATTCAAATAAATTCGGGTATCCGGGTCGTGGCGTTACAATTTGGTATCAGAGCATTAAGGTTTTAAAATGATTTTCGGACCCAAATAAGGATTAAAAAAGTTATAGTAGTACATCTCGTCCACTCATCCTCCAGCATTGCTCCGGAAAGGTAATTTTTTTAATACTTAGTACTTGACAATTATATAAGTTATATGGACACTGTTAAATATAGTCCTTCTATATTTAATATATTACGTATATATTATTATATTGTGTATATCCTAGTTACCATATATGCCTAGGTTTCCTTGTATTGTATTTTCCTAATATACTTAGGATTCTCCTAGTATATATTCCCTTGTATTATCACATTGTAAACTATTGGAAATATCAAATCTTTCATGGTATCAAAGCATTAAAATTCTCTCGGCTCCCTCCTCAAACTTTCGGCCTTCTCCCTGCCGACGTTCTTCGAAGCTTCTTCCCGGCCTTCGGCTTCTTCTCTGCCGCCACAGATTTCTCGGCGGCCTTCTCTCTGCCGGCTTCCTCTCTGCAGTTTCTCCCTTCGGTTTCCCTCTCTGAGCCGTAGCTCCTCCCCGGCACCACCATGGCTGAAATTTCATCTATCTCCTCTGACAATACATCTTCACCCAAAACCCCCCATCTTGCTTTTACCACTGTCTCCAACATCAAATTACACATCCCCATTCAACTCAGCATATCCGAACCGAACTACAAAAAGTGGAGTAAACTTTTTCGTTTACTTGCTCTTCGCTTCAATCTCATGGGATTTCTCGACGGCACCACTATTGCCGCCTCCTCCAACGACACTGAATGGCTCCAGTTTGATGCCCTCCTTCAAGGGTGGATTCTCTCCACCGTCACGGACGAGGTTTCAGATCTTGTTCTCGCCAACAGCCCCTCCGCTCATTCTCTCTGGACAGCGATCTACAAGTTGTTTCATGATAACAAACATGCTCGGGCGATGCAATTAGAGCATCGTTTCCGCACAACCGTCAAGGGCAACCGGACGATCAATGAATATTGTCACCTCCTCAAAAATCTTGCCGACTATCTTGATGATGTGGATGCTCCGGTGACCGAACATGCTTTGGTTTTACAGGTTCTTCAGGGGTTGCCGCAAGACATACGAGGCCAGGTTACTTTTCTTCAGTATCAAACTCCTTTTCCGACTTTTTTGGAGGTTCGCTCGGCCCTCTTTCTTGTCGAACAACAACAAACAGACGCCACCCATGGCGCCGGCTCGTCGACGGCACTCCTCATCGCTGGCAGTGGCAGCGGGTCTCCAGCGGCGGGCGGACAGTAGCGGCAGACAGGGGGTCCTGGGCGCGGCTATGGCAGTCAATCTCGACCCTTCAACAGTGGAAACCGCGGACGGGGACGTGGCCGTGGTCGTGGCAGCTCGAATCAACGACAATCCATTGGTCCGCAGTCCTGGCAGTTCCCTAACCCTACACCCGGCCTACTTGGCCCACGCCCCTACCCCACCTATCCACCCTACCCGGCCCAGGCCCACATGGCCCAAACCCCTAACCCATACCCATACTACCCCCCTGCCCAAACTCCCCAATACTAC